ATGAGTGGATTTACTGAATGGTTGGCTGTGGGATGCTCACGGAGAAGCAGAAGCCTACAGCAGGCACAGGCTTAGGAGATATCAGAAACAAGAATATTTTGAATGTGTTTGGTCTGAGATGTTTGCTATATTTCTAAGAAAAGTTGTCAAGTGAACAACCAGAGTACTAGTGGGTGATCTGAGAAGAGATTCAAGAAAAGGATGCAGCAACAGCACCTGATCTTGACTGAGGGTAGGGTTGTGAGAGGTATAGAGATATCCAGTCACGGCTCTCATACTTGGCTGGGTAATGGCTAAGTGGTTGCTATGTCCTCTGAGGTAAGGAACATAGGAGGCGGAACAGGATGCAATGAGAAAAAATGAGAAGCTTAGTTTCTAACACATGAAACTCAAGTGTAGGACTATATGGATCTGCAATTGGGAGGCCATTTGGGTAATGGTCTGACTGGGAAGTCATCGGCATATAGCCAGTAATAAAGGCTCAGGGGTAAAGGGAAGGCCTCCAGGGAGACAGCAGGACTCAGAACTGCCAACATGGCTAAGTTGGAAATTGCTGAGTTATGAAGTTAGAAGAGGAAGAAAACCAGAATATGGCATCATACAAGTCAAGATGAATGTTTGAGAAAATGGAAAAGGAGAAGACTCCTTTATGAAGATTCTCCTGAGATCACCTGTGAGGAGACCAGAGAAGCACCCTCCAAATGCTTCAAGCTAAGCATGCTTAGAAGCCATTTTCTCATTGCTTGCTCAGTTAGGCATGTGTGTGGTATGTACAGGTACATTCACTCCTATATTCATGTGTTCAGCATATGGCCTCTCATGTGAGGGATACAAAGTGCCAAAGACATGGACTATTTGTCCTCAAAGGATCAGGGACCATCAATCTTCCCACTGGGATATCTTGAGTCAATCAAATGTTAGAGCATGCCCCTCCCAGAACAAAATCCTCCTTGATTGATTCTTTCCTTCTTAGTAACTACCATCCAGTCTCTTGTTGAGGCCCAAATCCTAGAAGTCATTTAAAAACAGTTTTTATTTTTTATTTTTGTCTTTTTGAGACAGTCTCCCTGTAGCCCCAGCTGTCCTGGAACTCACTGTGTAGACCAGGCTGGTCTCTTATTTTATGTGTATTGCCTGCATATATGTGAAGGCACCCGTGTCATGCAATGCCTTGGAGGTCAGAAGAGGGCTTTGGACTCCCCTGGAACTGGAGTTAAGGACAGTTTGTAGCCACCATGTGGGTGCTGGGAATCGAATCGGGGTCCTCTGCAAGAGCAGTCAGTGCTCTTTACCACTGAGTCATCTCTCCAGCCCATAAAAACATTTTTAAACCAGGTCTAGTGGGATAAACCTGCTATCCTGTTAACCCTGCTACTGAGGAGGCAGGGACAGAAGGAATGCAAGTTCAAGGTCTGACTGGGCTACAAATTGTAGCAAGTTCAAAGTTTCAAAATCATCCTGGACAACTCAGTGGGACCCTGCTCCCCTGCCCGCCCCCCAAAAAAAGCAAAAAGATCTGGGAGTTGGAATACTTGCCTAGCATCCCAGTAGGAATGAAGCCTTGAATTCAATCCCCATCCCAGAAAAAAAAAGGTCATTACACATTGTACCAATGAGTTATAATACTGCCCTGTAATTATGTACAAATATTTTATGTTTTAGTTTAAAAAAATTTAAAAATATGGGGCTGAAGAAATGGCTCAGCAGTTAAAAACACTTGCTGTTCTTCCAGAGGACTGGGGTTTGATCCTCAGCATCCACATGGCAGCTAACAACCATCCCTAACTCCAGTTCCAGAGGCTCCAACACCCTCTCTGGTCTCTGTAGGGCATTGCACACACATGGTGCACTTATATACCTGCAGGCAAAACACTCATACACATAAAATAAATATAAAATATTAAAAATACAATTTTTATAAAGAATTTAAAAAACATGGCTGTGGGGGCCTGGGAAACAGCTCAGCAAGCCTGGGAACCTGGGTAGACTCACCAGAGAACATGTAAAAAGCCAGGTGTGCTAGTGTGCTGCACTTTTAAAGTGCCAGTGCTGGGGCTGTGGAGACAGTCAGGCTGATAATCTTCAGGCCACTGAGAGACCTTGTCTTAATAAAGGTAGATGGCATCTGAGGAACAACACCCAAGGTTAGGTTAGGTTGTTCTTTGGCTTCATTTAGTAAGATAATGGGAGAAAAAAATATTTTGAAACAAAGGAGTTTTGCCTGGCCTGGGACTCACAACAATCCATCATCTGCTTCTGTCTCCACAGTGCTGGGTTAAAAGCTTGCACATCACACCTGGCCTTATCTTTTAAAGTTTTAAAGGATGCACATATAGTAAGTACTTGCAGATCCTAGTCCTAGCCCCTATTGTTATGGTGTGGATTCCTCTCTGTCCCATATCTAACCCAGTAACTTTGTCCCAATAGTAACTCTTACTAGTTCTATTTCTGAAATACACACCAAATCTAACAGCTTAAAGCCACAACCAGTTTAAAGTCCAAACTCCTGCCTGTGAAGGTGACTGGTAATGCCCTGTGTGCTCTGGCCCCTACCTGTCTCTCTCCCATCCATGAGGTTTTTTTTTTTTTTGGACTTTTTGAGATAGGGTCTCCTGTAGCCCTAACTGGCCTGTAACTCACTATGTAGACCAGGCTAACCTCGAACTCACAGAGATCTGCTTACTTCTGCCTTCTGAGTGCTGGGATTAAAGGCGTGAGCCACCACGCTGGGCCTTCATAAGGCTTTCTTTTTGCCCTGGAACAAGCTTGTTTTATTGCTTTTGCATTTGTTTTTGCCTTTTGATGAGGGCACTCTTTTCCACGTTGTCATTTGCCTGATTCTTAGTGAACGTTCAGATTTGGCCCAAATTGTCACTTTTACAGAGAGCCTTTGTGTGTGCCTTTTACTTTCAGAAATTATCCTACATATATTTAAAAATTTTTTTAAAAATTGTACATTCTCCAGGAAATTCCCTGGGCCTAGAAAATGCCTGGTACAAGAGGTCTTTTGTTGTAAGTATATTCATTGATTGACCAACTGACTTAGATTTCTCCAGTTCTTTAAGAGTCAGTTTCCGCTGGGCGGCGTGGTGGTGCACGCCTTTAATCCCAGCAGAGGCGGGCGGATCTCTGAGTTCAAGGCCAGCCTGGTCTAGATAGTGAGTTACAGGACAGCTGGGGCTACAGGGAGACCCTGTCCCAAAAAGACCAAAAAAAAAAGTCAATTTCCTTATCAACAGAAGAAAGACTAATGATGCCTACGGAGCTTGGTAGTTTTAAAACGCAGAGAGTTTTAAGCCGCAGAGAGGTGGAGAGAAGTACTAACGACATCGGAAGTTTCCCCACAATGAACCTTTGCAATTTTCTGCTCAATTCCTTTGGACAGATGAGCAGACTGATTGCTTAGTCCTGCTTTCCTCTTAAGTAAAAAGAGCTATGGGTGAAAAGAACCAGGAAGAAAATGGTCCCACAGCAGGGCGGCATCATCGCCCTTTTAAGAAGAACGGCCCTCCCCACTCCCTAAGCACCCAATATTTAAGGTATCGAAGTTACTGCTAGTCACGTGAGACTCCCGGCGGGTTGTCACGCCCTAAAGAGGCGGAGCCTCCTTTTGGGCACCAATAGCATAAACAGCCTCAGGACCAGCCCTAATTTCAGATGGGGGGGGGAAAGAGGAGGGGCCAGGAGCCTCAGCAGCTGTAATAGCACTTCCGGAAAACACGCCCCGCCCCTTTCCCCCTCCCCCTCGCCGTTTATTTCGCCAGTACCGGGTGGGCTGAACCAGCGGGTGCTGATTAAAGGCACCGCCCGCCGCTTTTGCCTCTCTTCCCCTCTCCCCTTCTCCCCGCCCCCTTCCCGGGTAGCGGGAACGGCCTTGATGTGGGGACCCCGCCCCAGCGCCTCGAGCACCCCAGTCCGTGCGCCCGGTGCGTTCTAGTCCTCTGCCCTTCCACGTCCCCACCTTTCGGGCCGCACTCTGCTGTGAATTCATTGTATGCCGGGCGGCTGCGGACTGACTGGGGCCGGGCTCTGGCGGGGGCACCCAGGACCCGTGTGTACCCCAACCGTGGGTCCTGCCGGCTGAGGCCCCTCCCCTGCCCGCTGTTCGGGGCTGGGACCTGAGCGCCGGTCCCTCGCTGCGCTGGCGGCGGGTACCCGCGGGACCGCGCCCCCATCCCCCGCGGGGAGCCCCCCAGTACCTCTTCCAAAGGGGAGGAGAGCTGGGGAGAGCCGAGGCAGAAAAAAGCAGCCGCAAACTGCCCGGCTGGCCGATCATTTTTATTATCTATATTATTATTAAAAGGGGGCGGGGACCCCAGGATGCGGTGAAGGGGGCTAGAGATGCAGCTATTTCTATTAAACAGATTATTTTTGATAATAATACGCGCAAGATGGCTGAAGGTGGCTGTGATGAGAGTGTTCGAGTTGGGGGGTGATTTCTCCCCCCCCCTTTTTTTTTTTTTGATCTAAGGATAAAGCTCTGAAGCGACAGGCGCTGCGGAGACCCTGCCCGGAGTGCCCGCCCTCCCCTCCCTGGAGAATCTGCGGGCGGACAAACGGGCCCACGGACGAAGCGA